CAAAATGGGTTCCTAAAATGCATTTAGGACCAAGACAGATTGTAACATGCATTTTGGTTAACTGGAACATCAGCACTCTGTATAAAGTGTGGAGATAAAATGAAGAAATGAACTCTTGCACCTCCTGATGCTCCATAAACTTTATTTTGCAGGTTGCTGCTTTGGGCTCAGGTGGTTCACCCCAACCAGTGAGGTTCCTCTCTGTGGTCACGCTACACTGGCATCAGCTGCTGTGCTGTTCCACATTCAAAGTATGATTACAAACTAGATATTTTATGTACATCTAAACATTGTAGAAACTTTACTTGTAAGTAAGATCTGTATTTTCTACACCAAAGGCAACTAAATATTCTGAACATTTAGAGGACACACGTGGAGACACCGTTGGTGTCTTGTACAACTGCTCTGTCATTATCTGTCTGCAGTTTGATGCCTGCAGCTGCTTAATTAACCTTTTTGGAATGTACTGAGCTACTGCAAGAGCTGTAAGACTTTAGATTCCAATTCTTGTGTTTGCTAACGTTGCAGTGTTGTCTGTCTAGAAAATCCAAATCCAGTTCTCACATTTGTGACACTGAGCGGGGAATTGAAAGCCAGACAAGTGAAAGATCACATTGTCCTGGACTTGCCACTTTATACAGCCTACCCCCAGGTCAGTGAAAGTTTTATTCCTGACAGGCTTTCAGGGAAAGTGTATGTAGATGTTTGTATGTGTGTGTTGATGTTTGTATGTGTATGTAAGGATATGTGTCTGTAGTTGTATAGAGGCATACATATATATATTTTATTTTTTACAGTGCTTTTTTTTTTTCCTCTTCTTCAGGTAGTTGAGGAAGTAGAAGAATTAATAAAGGTAAAAAGTGAATCTATATGTTATCTTCTTTAAGGAGCATCTGTAATAGCTCTACTTGTTTTTATATGTTAAGATGGCTGAAAAATGGCAACAAGACTCTGCTTGTTGTACTCCTGAACCTGATACACCAAATTCAGTGCCTTTGCTTGTCTTGCTTGCCCGTGCTAGAGAACCCTCTGGGATGAGAGACCTTGCATGAGGCTGTTGTAGCAGGGAGTGTGTTCCCCAAAAATGTGAAGGAAACAGCATTTCGTATTCCAG